CACCCGCCGCTCAAAGCGGTCGCCACCCGACCCACGGATCCCAACCCCGACGAGATGACAGACCTCGAGGAGTTGGAACAGTTCGCCAAGACTTTTAAACAGCGACGGATCAAATTAGGTATGCCTTCAATGTCTACCCTATCTGTCAATTTGTAACACACTTTCTGTCAGTTTATGAAAATTTTTTTCCATTCAATTGAATGAGACTTTTGCGCGAAAAGTACCCAAAACTTAATTAACACTCAAAACCCTTTCTGTTATCTCCCTTTCCCTGCGGACACACATAGGCTTCACTCAGGGAGACGTAGGCCTAGCGATGGGTAAACTATACGGCAATGACTTCAGTCAGACCACGATATCCCGTTTCGAGGCGTTGAACCTATCGTTCAAAAACATGTGTAAATTGAAACCATTGCTCCAGAGGTGGCTCGAGGACGCCGACGCCTCCCTCAACAACCCCACGGCGCTCAACAGCGCCCACTCGACGCCGGACTCCCTAAGCGGTCGGCGCCGAAAGAAGCGCACCTCGATCGAGACGTGCACCCGGGTAGCCCTCGAGAGGGCTTTTTTACAGAACCCCAAACCCACCTCCGAGGAGATCACAATGTTGGGCAACTCCCTGGGCATGGAGAAGGAGGTGGTGAGGGTGTGGTTCTGCAACCGGCGCCAGAAGGAGAAGCGCATAAACCCGCCGCCCAGTGGACTCGCGGGCAGCGAGTCGCCCGTCGACTCGCCCCTCAACCCCCTGTCCATGGCGTTCACGTCCGTACCGGCCAACCTCACCACTACCTCAACGTTCAACTTCTCGACCATTGGCTCGTCTGGAGGCGGCTCTGGAGGTCTGACCGGCAATAACGTACCGATTCTGCCGCCGAGTCCCGAGAGTCGCAGCCCTCTGACGCCCGCTTCCTCCTACTCGGACAACGGCTCCATTTCCCTATCACCCCACGGGGCTGGATGTGGGGGCGGTATGGGTGGTGGCGCTGGTAACGGTTCAGGAGGACTGTCATTAACTCAATCGCAAACAACGGCACAAACTGTGAAACCCGATAGAGACTGATGCGTGAGGTATCCGAAGAGCACCGTTAGCTTTTAGAGACACTTCGTGTGTGTGTGTTGTGTGTGTTACCCGTTTATGTGGTGTTTATTGAATTGGACTCACGATATATGACTGTAATATACAGTGAAAAGTGACAATTGATTTGTTTGTTTCGCATTCATTCGCAACACTTTTTATTACTAATAATTGATTATTTAATTACAAATATTATCATTAGTTATATACATATAAATACATTACGGTTTCGGTGTTTTCTCTAAACTACTTATAACTACTAAACTACAGGTGTGTGGTGTGAATAATACAAAATACTACTCGTCCTCTTTTTTGCTATAATACCCGTGTGTTTTTCAAACCACAAATCATATATACGATTATAATCGCGAGAATCAAAAAAGTTTTTCAACACATAATTATAGAGTTCCTAAACAAATATGAGAGTAATTATTGAAAATAAGTAATGATTTTTCCCTGGATGATTGACTGGCATGAGAAACTCATTTTTCCATATCATATATAAGTGTATGCAATAGTAATTGAAAGTAAAAAACACGTGTGTAATAAAACTAATGGGTATTATGTGCTTAAAAGTTAGTTTATAATTAGTTAAGTAAGTTATAATTTTAAAATTATCCCTGATTGATCCATTTTCTAATACCTGTACCCAGTGATATACCCCCGATATTTGCAATAAAAATACAACTTTTGATAGACACAGACATTACAAATAATTTGATCGAGCACATAATACCCATTAGTGTTATAGAAAATAATAATTTATCGATTGATATATTAATGTAAATGTTTTCTATAGAGAGATAGGGAATGGATATTAGACTCCATTTCCACTCTCTATTATATGCTATTGTTTTTCGGACGAGACATTGAAATATCGGAAACGGGTTTTGAAAATTGAATTTTTTTTAGAAATAATTATTTCTTTCGACCATTGATTTCAATCCTTAAGAAAATAATACTTATTATGAGAGCGAATCAAAAGGACATTAAATTAATACGAAATCTAAAAATAGCTGGATAAAATAATTATGATTATTATCTATAATAATATAATTTAATGTTACGAAAAATCATTTGTTTTCCCGGAATTTTGTTTTTATTATACTTATTATATAATTAAACACTTATTAATCAAAACTAAAGGCACAATAAAATTATTAGAGTATTATTTGTATAATGCTATTGAATAGCGAGAATATTCTTTGAAAAAAATAATTGTTTTTATTATTAACTAATTTTTGTTTCGCATGAAAAGTGTTTAGAGAAAACGATTGGTATATAAAAGTGTTTAAACAAGGACATTAATACGAGTGAAATCCGAGGGTTTGTTTGCAATATTTATATAATTATATAATACATGTATAAAACAAATTGATTAATATTTAGGATAACATTATTAGATAACGTTTGGCGCAAAAGAAATTGTTTGAAATTATACAAATTATCAAATATTTGTAGCAATACTTAACACACAAAACATTCGTAACATATATAGTAAAAATTGTTTTTCATTATCGGTTTGGAAAGTTATCACGCTCATTTTGTCGCGACACAAACAAAAAGGTTTTTGTTGTTGCGTTTCATACGATAAGCAAAATTTTTGCGACAAAACATTTTGCCAACAAATACACGAATTCAAGAATATTCTGTATTATTATTCTGTATAATACGGATGAATATAGTATACGAGACACAAAATGTATACAATTTTTTAATTACAAATACATTCAAAAGAGTTGATTTTATTCTCGCCCAGGCATTCCCATATATGATACAAAAATTTTATATCACATACCATTCCCATACGAAACATACATTCCAGGCATTCATTCCGTGTCACCCAAACGTACACTCATTTAAATACATAGAAAAACACATAATTAATGATTTGTTTAGTCGGCAATCAATATATAAATAAACGCATGATATGTACAAAAATCATACAAAAAAACTTTTTTGACCGAAAAAATCGCTGAAATATAATACAAATTCTTATTCTCAGAGACAACAGAATTGAATCCATTTTCTACTCAACCATCAAATCTGATGTATAATAATAACTGAGACAAAGTTTTTTTGCTTTCAAAAACACATCATACACACACACTATTTATATACAAACAAACATTTTAATTATTAATTTAATTACTATTTATGTTATATTTTTCATCTGATATACATTTTCAAAACTAATAACTAGTGAATCCATACAAAAACACAACAGTTTTTGCTTTTTAACGTCACAAACGAATGCTTAGGGATAATGTATTTTATATGACTATAGAAACTGACAATTCAGTTGACACCTGGATATTAATACAGATATATGAATACAATTGATATGACCATTAATCTGATGCCTTCCTACATATGATTAGGCGCTCTGTCGGCGCCGAAATACTAATGTTCCTAAATATCGCGATTAAAACACATGTAATGCCAGCGAATAAGTGGCGACAAAATCGCTTATCATTTGTCTGACATTACGGTTCAGTTCCTAATAACCAGATAAAAAAATTAATCAAAAATTTATTGATTGACAAAAAACAATTTATATCTCATTAGAGTTAAAAATCAAAATTTTTAATTAAATTTTACAATACAATCAAAATATTGTCAGGTGTTCTAGCACAGTTCAGGTGATGATTATATGGATTAGGATGTGAATGATACCGATAACTACCTCTTAATATGGGAGTACCTGTTTAGTACGTGAGTGGACAGGCTGTTTATTATTTGATGAGAAAGTTTAACAGGGGGATGACATGAGATATAAATACTGTTTATGAATAAAGATTTGATTAATTATAAAATGAATTCATAACTACATTAACGACTATATGTGTGCCAATGGGATGATAAATATAAGTTATATTTTCTTGTGTCCAACCATTAGGTGTTGTGTTGTAAGACTACACGAGGAAATGAGAAATAAATTTACCAGGATACTATTTGTTTTCATATTTGAATCTCGCGTACGATGTGTTGAATTGTGCTTTTTATGCATAAATCAATTGTATATTTAATGAGAAAATGAGAGTTCACTGAAAATGAAGTTTTCAATGATAATACTGTAAAATATGATCGCAAAACACATTGATACATTGTATATACTAACATACAATATATGAAAATGACCTGTCTTACGCCCTAATAGTGATTATTGTGACAAAATAAACAACAAACTCCTTTCCCTTTCACACAATACAACCGACAGACAGACAGACAATACAAAACTTTTGAGACAATATTGTGTTAAGATTTCTATACATATTATGACTATTATTATTGTATTTGAAAATAACGAGACTGTTATATCACTTAATTGTGTCCCCGATCTTTTTTATCGCAATTATTATTAATTGATTATAATTATTACATTTTTAATTATTGCTATTAATTTCGCTTTTTGATTGCCTATTGATTTAAAAACATTTTTGGTTTTTATAGTATAATTGCTTTATTATATAAATGTTAACATTTATTATCTAATGTTAATTGAGAGTAAAACTAAATAATGATAAAAAACATTGAAAATATAAATATGAAAAGCATTTTTAAAAATAAAATTACATTTTATTATATAATAATCGTACGAATGAATGGAAAACAACATTAAATTAATACCAATTATAACAACAAATAAATAAAATTAAAATCTGATTATCGGCTCATAATTTGTACATAAATTTAATAATATATTTGTTGAACGCATTATAAGCAGAAAAATTTAGCGTAAAATTAAAAATTTAAATAAAAACTTGTATTTAAAAAACACAACATACAAAACTGTTCTCTCTCCTTTTTCAATACAACATTTTAGCAATGATTTCGACTACAAAAAACAAATTGAAATCTACTTTTCATTAAAAAAAATTCATAATAAAAACTGATAGTTATTTCACAAAAGCAACACGCCTATTTATTTATTTATATTTTTATTATCACGGTACTAATCATTTAACCAGGTAAGTAAAAACAAATTTTAGGAAAACATTGCCTTGATAATTGGCGTATTTTGTTTATGGGCATACACTATAAATATAATATATTATAATGTTAGCTACGGCTATATTTAGATTAGACATGGTTAGCTAATAAATTAAAAATATTTTGACATTATATAATTTATTACTTATAAGTCTTTATTTATTTTCAAATATTTCCAATGAAAGGGATGAGCTTTTCATATATTAAAAAATAAAATAAAACATAAGATTTACAACCAGTGCCATACCTACCTGGGAAATGTTAGGTTAATACAGTACCGTATAGTCCGGGACCAAACAATAGCCAATAAATATTGTGCTAAACAAAGCCAACACCATAATAAGCACCAATACCTGGGTATAGTGTTTGCAAACAAATAGCACTACAGTATATAAACACCAAAAAGTAATTTTAAAAATCACTTTCAGTTTACATAAAGTTTAGTTCACTTTAAAAAAGTTTTGCAAACAAAATATGAGCAAAAGATTTGGTTTGTGTTGAGCTATATTTTTGGGCTAAAATTGATTTTATAAACTAATTGCTGACCAATAGGTTCGGATGATTCACGCGACTCGCGCTGCGCCCAGGACAAGGACCGGGGATCAGCACCGGGATCGTCGAAAGGGCCCAAACAAGCCACGGATGCCATGAAACACGTCTGGAATCAAGTCCTTAAAAATCCGCAACGATTTGATCAGAAGATCATCGATATGAATAGGGCCCGGGATAAAAATGACCTGTATAATGCCGACCGTAAGTATAACATATTTAATTTTATTACCTTTTTTGCACCAGTGTCATTATTATGATCGCGTATAAATTGTTTGAATTAATTAATAATTTAAAAATATGTTTAAGGATTGGAAAACGATTTGAGAAATGAGGTGAAAAATTCAACCCAAGAAAGCTTCCGATAAAATGTCTATCGATTTAAATGTCATGTTTTCCCAGGTTTTTATGATAATCTCAATTTTACCATGTAACTTTTATATGTTTAATTCATAATAAAACGTGATGTTTAAAGCAATTGTCTAATTTATTAATTATATGTAAAGAATCCAGGTAAGTGATAAAGTATGCGTATACAGTGATGATTAGTATTATGTAAAAAATAATTTAGACAAATATTTTAAAGCAAAAAATTTTTTATTAATCAAGAATTATATAACTTTATTATACATGTGTTTTCAATTTGTTTAATCAATTAATAGGCAATTATATAATAATAAGATTTTGTTTGTTTGAGTCATTTGTCTTATATATAAATATGAAAATACGTAAAATTATACATATATTTAATATTAATTCAATAATAATTAATTAATCGTAACCAATAATATTTAATCAAAACATTTGTATTTTAAGCGAGGACTCTTTTTTATATTAATTATATGAAAAAAAGTAATAAATTGTTTTGTTTTGCAATTATATTACATTTAAGTCAATGAAATAGAGAAAACATTTTCAATAGAAAAGTTCGTTTAAAAGTTTTGTCATTTGTTTTCACATATTTTAAGCTCAACTCAAATAAGTAATTGAATTATTATTATATTTAACAACAAATGTATCAAGGTATTTATTTCATTATTCGATTCATTTGTGTCTATAATTAGTACTACAATACAAAAAAAGTCCTCACATTTGCCATCAAATGGAGTAAACATTTAGTCTTATGTTATGTTTTTTGTATGTGTTTTGCAATGTAATTGTATCATGATGATGAACATTGGCAAAAATAATTTTGTCAATATTTTACACTTATTATGTTTGCGATATGAGAGGTACTACCAAAATGTCATTGGTCAATTTATCCCCCGTCAATTTGTAGTTATTTTACATATTTATCATTATAATAATTATGCGATAATTCATTCATTTTTAAATATAAAACTTGAGACAATTTGTTTCAAAAAAAATTATTTTACAATTAGTTTCAATGAATGTTTTGATATTTAATAGACACTGGTCAATTAAAATACACACTTTTTTGATTGATTGCATTTTTTTGATGATAAAAATATGTTTTATTTTATATTATATTTATCTTAAGGAGTATTAAATAGTATTTTTGTGTACATTTTCCGCACACAAAAATCATTCATCCCGATCAGTCACTATCAATAAAAATGTTTATATAAAATGATAATCACTTTTACTTGTTTAAAATGGTTTTTATATGTTTTTCGCACCTGAGATACAATGTAATGGACTTTTATGCCATTTATTTATCAAATAGGGAGTGCTTTTCAAATATAATAAATTGGTTTTCAGTATATTATATAATATATTAAAGATATTCTGTGTTTAAGACCTGAGTTTTCAAATAATATTCATACAATTTATTTGTCAAATTTAAATAAATTATATAATAATATTTTATAATCAAATACTTGTATTTAAATAATTTTTGTCTATGCATTTTCATTCAGTAGTGCTATTTTTGATTTTAAGTTCAAGTAACGAGGTAGTTTTATTCGTATTGGTTTTTGTTTGTATTTTATTTATCATCAATATCATTTATGTTTGTAAATAGAAAATCAAAATTCTTTATATCATTACAT